TTATTTCTCACGTTAAACAAAAGTGGAGACTAGAAGATGATGGAATGTTATCTTCAATGTGCTGAAAGTAAGTAATGATCAATTTAGCTTTTTTATGGGGGGGATTTTTTTATTATTACTGATTCAACTTTATTACTGGTAATTGGTCTGTTCATATTTTCTGTTTCTTTCTGGTTCAGTCTTGGGAGATTGTACATTTCTGGGAATTTGTCTATTTCTTCTAGGTTGTCTATTTTATTGGTGTATAATTATTCACAGTAGTCTCTTATGATCCTTAGTATTTCTGTGGTGTCAGTTATAACTTCTCCTTTTTCACTTCTGGTTTTATTGATTTGGGCCCTTTCTCTCTTTTTCTTGATGAATCTGGCTAAAGGTTTATCAATTTTGTTTATTATTTCAAAGAACCAGCTCTTAGTTTCATTGATCTTTTTTATTTTTTTATTCCCTCTTTCATTTATTTCTGCTCTGATGTTTATGATTTCTTTCCTTCTACTAACTTTGGGTTTTTACTTTTTTTAGTTCCTCTAGATGTAAGGTTAGGTTGTTTATCTGAGGTTTTTCTTTTTTCCTGAGGTAAGGTTGTATGGTTAGAAACTTCCCTCTTAGAGCTGCTTTTGTTCCATCCCATAGATTTTGGATTGCTGTGTTTTCATTTTCATTTGTCTCTAGGTATTTTTTGATTTCCTCAGTAATTTATTAGTTTTTTAGCATATTGTTTAGCCTCCACGTTTTTGTGTTTTTCTGCAGCATTTTTTTTCTTATACTTGATTTCTAGTCTCATAGAATTGTGGTTGGAAAAGATGCTTGATATGATTTCAGTCTTCTTAAATTTACTGAGACTTGTTTTGTGGCCTAGCATGTGATCTATCCTGAAGAATGTTCTATGTGCACTTGAAGAGAACATGTATTCTGCTGCTTTGGGATGGAATGTTCTATATACATTTATTAAGCCCATCTGGACTAATGTGTAATTTAAGGCCAGTTTTCCTTGTTGATTTTCTGTCTGGGTTATCTGTCCATTGCTGTAAATAGGGTGTTAAAATCCCCTACTATTACTGTGTTACTGTCAATTTCTCCCTTTATGTTGGTTAATATTCATTTTATGTATATAGGTGCTTTTATGTTGGGTCCATATATATTTATAATTGTTATACCTTCTTGGATTGATCCCCTTATCATTATGTAATGTCCTTCTTTGTCTCCTGTTACAGTCTTTCTTTTAAAGTCTATTTTGTCTAATCTAAGTGTTGCTACTCCAGCTTTCTTTCTATTGTATGGAATACCTTTTCCCATCCCCTCAGTTTCAGTGTGTGTGTATCTTTAGATCTAAAGTTAGTATCTTGTTGATATAAGACATATATATATATATATATATATATATATATATATATATATCCATTTAGCCACTCTATGCCTTTTGATTGGAGCACTTAGTCCATTTAATTTTAATGTAATTATTAATAGATATGTATTTATTACCATTTTGATAATTGTTTTGAAGCTGTTTTTGTAGTTCTTTTTTGTTCCTTTTTTCTTTGTTTGCTCTCATCTCTTGTAATTTGATGATTATCTTTAGTGTTATATTTGGATTCCTTTCTCTCTCTTTTTTTTTTTTGTGTGTGTGTGTATCTATTATATATTTTTCGTTTGTGGTTGCCATCAGGTTTATATATAACAATCTGCATATATGGGGTACTGGGGTCAGTTCAGTCTTGCTGGTGGGTGGGCTTGGTCCTGACATAGTCAGTTGCAGGACTACAGTGGTTCTGGGGCTGTTGTTGGCTAATTGGCAGGTGGGGCTGAAGCCCAGAGGGTCCTGGAGCTAGTGCCAGCCCACTGGTAGGCAGAGCTGAATCCTGGGGTCTCTGGCTGTGGGGTCTTGGGGGGCTCAGATTTGGTATGTTAGCCTGCTGGTGGGTGGGGCTGGGATCCAGGGGGTCCTGGGGTTGATGTCTTCCCACTAGTAGATGAGGCTTTTTCCAGGGCTAGTGCTGGCCCAGTGGTGGGTGGAGTCAGGTCCCAGAGTTTCTGACTGCAGGGCCCTGGGGATCCTGGAGTTGGTGTCAACCCACTAGTGGGAGGGGCCGGTTCCCATTGGCTAGCTGCAGGGTCCAGGGAGTCCCGGGGCTAGTGCTGGTGCACTGATGGGTGTGTCCAGGTCTCCTGGTTCCTCTGGTGGGTAAGGCTGGGTCCCAGAGTGGCTGTAGGCTCAGAGGGTCTTACAGCAGCCTGCCTGCTGGTGGGCAGGTCTGTGTTCCTACAGGCTAGCTGCTTGGTCTGAGGCATTCCAGTACTCCTGATGGGCTGGTGAGCAGGGCTGGGTCCTGGAGCTAATAAACTAGAAGGAGGATTCCAAACTGGTGCTTATCAGCACCAGTGTCCTTGTTGTAGAATGAGTTCCCTAAAATGACTTGCTGCCAGTACCTATGTCCTCAGGCTGAGCTCCAGTTGCCTCCTGCATCTCTGGGAGGCTCTCTAAGATCAGCAGATGGGTCTGACTTAGGATCCTTTCAAATTACTGCTTCTGCCCTGGGTCCTGAAGTGTGTGAGATTGTATGTGCACACCTTTTAAGAGTGGAGTCTCGGGCTTCCCTGGTGGTGCAGTGGTTGAGAGTCCGCCTGCCGACGCAGGGGACATGGGTTCGTGCCCCGGTCCGGGAAGATCCCACATGCCGCGGAGCGACTAGGCCCATGAGCCGTGGCCGCTGAGCCTGTGCGTCCGGAGCCTGTGCTCTGCAATGGGAGAGGCCACAACAGTGAGAGGCCCACGTACCGCAAAAAAAACAAAACAAAAAAACCAAAAAATAAAAGAGTGGAGTCTTTATTTCCCACAGCCTTCTGTTTCTCCCAAAAGTAGGCCCTGCTGGTCTTTAAAGTCAAACATTCTGGGGGCTCATCTTCTCAGTGAAGAGCCCTGAGCTGGGGAAGCTTGATGTGGGGCTCAGACCCCTTGCTCCTTGGGGAGAACCTCTGCAGTTGCAATGATCCTCCTGTTTATGGGTTGTCCACCTGGGCATATGGTTCTTGACCATATTGTGTCTCCACCACTCCTCTCTGTCTTGCTGTGGTTCCTTCTTTATATATTTAGCTGTAGAAGAACTTTCTGCTAGTCTTCCTGTCTTTCTCATCAATAGTTGTTCTGTAAATATTTGTAATTTTGGTGTACCTGTGGGAGAAGGTGAGCTCAGGATCTTCCTACTCTGCCATCTGGCCACTCCCCTGTCAATATATCTTTTAATAATGAGGGTGAAATAAAACCACTGCCAGAGGCAAAAGGGGAGAATTCTTACCAGCTGATTCTTGATAAAGGAAATACTATAGGATATACTTTAGGAAGAAGTGATCCCACAAGGAAGGTCAGAGATGTAAGAAAAACAGAACAAAGAGAAAGTATATGAGCAAATCTAAGCAAGCATTGATAGACATAACATTTAAATATTAATAATTTTATAATTAAATTATTAAATTATGTATAATTCATATAATATATTGAAGTAAAAAATATTGTTTTCTGAGGTTAAAAATACAGGCTCAAAATGTGTAACAAAAATAGCATGTAAGTCAGGAGGGGGTAAATGGAACTTCTAGGGTTCTTGTCTTGCCCAGAAGTAGGTAAAGATATGGATTAATTTTTGACCTTGACAGGTTGTAAAGGCACGCTGTGAATCTGGGATAACTTATTTGAAGAAAAGAGAAATCATTAGAGGGAGAAAATGGAGTGACAAAACATATTCCAAGCTCTAAAGGAAGACAAAACAGAGAGGAAAGAAAGAATAAGAGGGAGAAATAGAAACATGGTAGATATAAACATATATACTCCAGTTCAAATACAAAGATTGACAGACTTGATTAACAACATCAAGCTGATTGCCATTTCAAGAGGCATATCTAAAACATGAGGATACAGGAGGGTTGATTATAAAAGGATAGAAAAAGACAGGTCAGGTAACACTAATGGAAAATAAGACCTGAATAATTAGGAATAATATCAGACAAACAGACTTGAGGTGTAAAGCTTTACCAGAGACAAAATTGTACTTTTGTAATGAAGGTTAGTTATTTCACTGGGAATGTGTGGTGCCTGAAACTCTAACTGTAAATGGATATGTATCTAATGATGTGGCCTCAAAAACTGAAGCAACAAGAAAAATTAGAATCATAGTGGGAGATTTTAAAAACGTTTTTAAAGACAAATTTCTAATATTTGTAAAAGCAGAACTTCCCCATGCCCAACACTTAGCTTCAATGATTATAAACTCCTGGCAAATTTTCTTTCTTTTATATTCCCGCCTCCTTTCAACTTTGCCTCTGTCCCCTGCCCCAACTTATACTGAAGCAAATCCAAAACATCATAATACTTCATCTGTGTCCCAGAATGTATCTGAAGAGCCAAGGTATCTCTTTTAAAATAACCATAATAACATTGTGATGCTTCTCCAAATGAATAGTAACTATTTAATATCGTCAAATATTGTGCTCCTATTTCTCTGATATTCATAAATTTTTAGAGTTCGTTTGAATCATGTCATCTAAAATTTTAACACTCCTGATATCTGACCCTCACATCTCCTTCCTTGTGTGATTTTCTTAGCAGCACATACCATTAACATGCTATATATTTTGTTTATTACTGTGTTTAGCATTTGTCTGCCTAGCAGAAGGCTACCTGAAATAAAATTGGTTAGCAATATAATTGTTGAATACAAATAAGATTGGAGTTAGACAAAAAAAAAATTATTTTTCTGATACATTATGAGAGGTACCAGATAACATTTGGGCTGCAGACTTGTAATGCCTATAAAGGTCCACTTCTCTCTCTCTTTCATCACAATGGCCGTGGCTGTGTAAAGGATGCATCATCAGGTGCTCCCACCCCCTGACCCCTGCCCAGCACCTGGGTGCCATCCTCCAGACAGGGGATGCAGCACACCTCAAGCCCCACACCTTCCAGTAGCCATGGTATGAGCAGTACCTGCTGGACGTCTTGTTGTTCCTGCTAGTGGTCACCCTGGGCACCTCGTGGTTCTGTGGGCAGCTGCTGGGCCTGGTGGCCAGGTGGCTGTGTGGGACCAGGAAGCTGAAGAAGGTCTGAGGCCAAGTGGAGCCTTGGAGAGGGTGTGCTGGGGAGCCACTGGTTCTTTGAAGGCTTCCCGCAGCACTGTACACCGCTGGCATCCTCCCCTTCACTTTCTCTTGACAGGACACACCTTTCTCCTATTTTCTGCCTCTTTAGAAACTTTATGAAGAACTCTTGGGTTTCTTTTTAAAAATATTGTGGTAAAATATACACCACATAAAATTACCATTTAAGGGAGAGTATGGGGAGACAAGGGAGGAGCGGTGAAGAAACAATAGTATAGCCTTGGGGGCAGGGTCCTGATCCCCCCTCAAGAGATATACAGTAAGTCCCCTACATAAGAACCTTCGAGTTGCAAGCTTGCAAAGATGTGGATGCCTGTTCCATCAACGTCAGGTGTGAGTGAAATGGCAGCTTGCCCTCCGTCTCCTGTTGCTGACAGTCCTTCAGCTCTACCATCTCCCACCTCCTCTCCCTCCTCCAGTCAGTAACTCTTCTTGCCTGTTCACTCGATGCCAGCCCCTGGATGCCAGCTGTTGTACTGTACTACTCTACTTTTCAAGGCACTATACTGTAAGATTAACAACATTTTCTTTATTTTTTGTGTTTGTTTTTCATGTATTATTTGTGTGAAAAGTATTATAAACCTATTACAGTACAGTTCTAGCTGATTGTGTTAGTTGGGTACCTAGGCTAACTTTGTTGGACTTACAAACAAATTGGACTTATGAACGCGCTCTCGGAACGGAACTGGTTCGTATGTAGGGGACTTTCCATGCATAACATTATCTGTGAGCTCCTCTGCAGAGCTAAAACCCCCACCAAATGGAAGACCTGATGAAGCACTCTTCGTTCCAGAGAGGGTCACAGTTCGCCCGTCATCACCTGACACCAGATGATCTCTGGATTGAAGGAATGTGGGCCCTGCACACACCCTGATCCTTATCAGCAACCCCGCCCCTGGACTATAAGACTCTCTCAGGCACCCCCCACCCCTGGGTCAGGATACACAGTTTTGAGGGCATTAGCTCACTGTGGCCCCCTTTGCCTGGCAAAGCAATAAAGCTATTCTCTCCTACTTCACCCCCACCCCCCAGATATTGTGGTAAAATATACACCACATAAAAATTACCATTTAACCATTGAGTATACAGTTCAGTGGCATTAAGTACATTCACATTGTTGTGCAAATGTCACTACCATCCAATTCCAGAACGTTTTTCATCTTTCCAAACTAAAACTCCACACAGGTTAAAGGATAGCTGCCCACTTCCCATCCCCCTTAACCCCCGCCAAGCTTCTAAGCAGCCCATGATCTACTTCTGTGTCTCTGAATCTGAACTTGAGCTTCTGGATTGCCCCCGACCAACGGACACTTCTACTCAGACCAGCCTGCTTCAGCCTCTCTGTCCAGGAGGCTTCTCAGGCTCTTTCCCAATTTCTCCTTCTTTCACTTTTCATAGAACTCACATGAGCTATTTGGCAGATTCTTCCATGTGGGCCTTCTTGCATCTCCTTTTCATCTTGCCTTCCCAGAGACTGGGAAACCTGGTCTCCGTCCTGCAGGTCAGCAGGGACACCGCCCCCAGGACCCCGTCTTTGGTCTCTGCCCGAGTCCCCTCCTGCGCAGAGCACCTCCTTTGCTGTCAGTCCTGGAGCCTTTGGTCCACAGCTGATGCTGCTTGCTTCCCACTGTTCACAGTTGCCTCCTCAGTATCCCCACTCAAATAAATGGGGTCCCGGAAACCTAAGTGAAGAAATGGAACTTACATGTAAGGCTTGGGGCCTCAGGTCCAAGAACCATGGCCGTGCCCAAGCCTCTTGATTTAGGAAACATTCCATCTGCCACCTCATGTAGCAGAGAACATCCCTATGTGTGGTAAACCCTTAAGGGTGACATTCAGTTCCTACTAACAGAAACAAGAAAAAAAGAATGGCTTAAACACTCTGGAGTTTTTGGTTTTTTCTTCCCTGGACACAACCTGGAGACCGGACGTGGAAGGCTGGTGTGGTGACTCATCCCGCTGTCCACAGGTTTTTTTCTTTTTTTTTGGACTTTTGACCTCCTGTCTTATACTATTCTCCAAGTTGCCTCTCGGGTTTGTTGCTCTCATGAAATATTTTACCTTCAATTATCATGTCCTCCTATTTGCTTTTGCATTCTGAAATGGAATTAAATTCCTCCTTAAAAGTTCTAGTGTATGGTATCTAGTAGATTAAAACATGGTGAAGAAAATATTAGAAACAAGGGATGGCCCTGGAAACTGCAGTTCTGGATTGCTTAATTCTGGGTTGTGAAACACATCTTGGAATAATTCAAATGAAAACATGAAACAGTTATTACAAATGCTCGCTGCAGAAATAGGGAAATGCCCACACCTGCCAGTGACGGGATGGGATTTGCCTGGTTGTATGGACAGCTGGGTGCCTGCTCTCCACCCATTTCTGTGAGTTCTCATGCTGTAAGTGTGTCCCACACAGTTAGGAGCATGTCACTTGCAGAAGTGTGTGTGTGTGTGTGTGTGTGTGTGTGTGTGAACTAAGGTTTTATTTCCACAATTCTTATAAGATCTATTAAACTGGTCTTTGGCATAAGTTCCTTGAGGGACAGATATGCAACCCTCTCTGTGTTGTCATTGGAACGAGTGGCCAGAATTGTATTCCCCTTTGTAAGCAACACAGGGACCTAGGGATGAGGCTCCCTGGCTTGTAACTCCCTCTCTCCTGCTCTCACTACAAAATCCTTCCTGATCATCTGGTAACTCAGTGAGGCCAACTCTTTCTGGTGCTTTCTAGGCCCCACCCCAATCCAAGAAATCTGATCAATAGCAGCCAATGAGCCAGAACGATGCCTCCAGTTTGTTTCCGCCAAGCATCCCACACAGGGCCGGCTGCCAGCATGGCCTTGATGACCTGGAAATCCGATCTCATCACTCCGTGACTAAAATCCTTTGTCGTCTCCCACTACAGGGAATACAAGGCCTCTATGATCTCTCTCTGGCTACCACAGCAGGCACGTCTCGAAAATTCTGAAATAGACCCCCAAATATGTTCAGTTGATTTTTAACAAAGGTGCAAAGACAGTTCAATGGAAAAAGAAAAATCTTTTCAGCAAACTTACTGGAATCCAATCCTTTTCAGCAAACTGCACTGGGTTGGCCAAAAAGTTCGTAGTTACCACAACACACCTACTAGAATGGCTAAAATTTAAAAGGCTGACAATACCAATAGTTGGCAAGGACATAGAGCTACTGGAATCCATACATTCCACTGCTGATGGGAAAGTAAAATGGTACAGCCACTTAGGAAAATCTCCATACAGTTTCCCCAAAACAGTTGAGCATCTATGTGCCAAATGACTAAGCCATTCCAATTCTAGGTATTTACTCAAGTTAAATGAAAATATGTGTCCACCTGAAAACTTGTACACAGATATTCATAACAACTTTATTTGTAACAGCCTTAGCCTAAGAAAAAACGAAATGCCCATAAACAGGTGAATGGATAAACAAGTTGTGGTATATGCATAAAAAGGACTATTGCTCAGCAGTAAAAAGGAACATGCTACTGATGTACACAACCATATACACGGATCTCAAAATGATCTTGCTGAGCGAAAGAAGCCGGACTCAAAGAAGTGCCTCCTGCATGATTCACTTATATAAAATTCAAGAAAATGTAAACTAATCTCTACTGACAAAAAGGAGACTAATGGTTGCATGGGGCTGTGGGCTGTGGGAGGGTGCACTGTGAATGGGGTGATGGAAATCTTTGCAGTGGTGGCTTTGTAGGTGTATATATCTATCAAAACTAAGTGGATAAAGAAGATGTGGCACATATATACAATGGAATATTACTCAGCCATAAAAAGAAACGAAATTGAGCTATTTGTAATGAGGTGGATAGATCTAGAGTCTGTCATACAGAGTGAAGTAAGTCAGAAAGAGAAGGACAAATACCGTATGCTAACACATATATATGGAATTTAAGAAAAAAAAAATGTTATGAAGAACCTAGGGGTAAAACAGGAATAAAGACAGAGACCTACTGGAGAACAGACTTGAGGATATGGGGAGGGGGAAGGGTGAGGTGTGTTAGGGCGAGAGAGAGACATGGACATATATATACTAACAAACGTAAGGTAGATAGCCAGTGGGAAGCAGCCGCATGGCACAGGGAAACCGGCTCGGTTCTTTGTGGCTGTCTGGAGGGGTGGGATAGGGAGGGTGGGAGGGAGGGAGACAAAGAGGGAAGAGATATGGGAACATATATATATGTATAACTGACTCACTCTGTTATAAAGCAGAAACTAACACACCATTGTAAAGCAATTATACCCCAATAAAGATGTTGAAAAAAAAAAAAAAAAAAAAAACTAAGTGGATGTAGTTTGTTGTACACAAGTTAGATCTTAAAATTGTTTTGAAAATCTCTATGGGTGAGATATGCTTTTAAGTGTTTTTCTATTTGTGTACCTTAAATTTTAGTATTTGGGAATTATTGTTCCATTTGAATATAACTGAAAATGCAAATACATTATAATTTCCAAAACAGTAGAGCTGGTACAATTTTGAAAAGGGAGGAGATATATGTATACAAGAAGTAAGGTCATTTCCTGGAGAATCAGAGGGACTAATGGTAAAAGCCTAGGATTAGGGGTCAAGTTCACATACTCAGGCCTAATGCATGTTTATTTTATGAGTGGAACCTGGGGTCTTCCATAATTATAACACACAATTACACATTTGAAAAATTATAAGCACAGGTAAGACATTTAATTTTTGAGCTTTAATGGACATTAAACATGACATAAACTAAGGATTTAGGTATAAAATACCTATTTTTGGAGTTGCATTTTAAGATTCTGAAAGGAAGTTCAAGATGCCATTTATATTTCCTTTCACTGTTCTGCTTATTTGTTTCTACATTACCACCATCTCATATTGATTCTTTGTGTACCTGTCTACCCCGATGCTCTGTAGATGTGGTTTTACCTCATGTCAATCTTTCATTGTTTTGTTTATCACATCCTAACTGCAGGCTATTAAGAGATGGTTATGTTATTTATTTAAATGTCAAAAAACTATTCGTGTAAAAGGAAGTAAATGAAATATCTATGGTCCTACACAAACTTCTACTTAGTACAAGGACTTAACTACTTCTGAAAAGCAGACTTTGTATTTTAAATGTCCTTCATATAAATACATTTCATCCCGTTCAAAAATTTGATTCAACCAACAATGACTGATTTCATATCTGTACATGGTACTGGGCATTTTGGAAGATGCAAAGATGAACCAGACTCTTTCCCAGTCCTCTAAGAGCTCTCAGTTGGTTTTCCATTGTCTTACTGATTAATTAAAAGGCAGATTTATCTGTCATTGGTAGTGCATCTTGTCTAAGTGATTGCTCCTTAATAGCTTATTAGTTTAGCTTAATAATTTCACTTAGTGAAAGTCAAGTGAACTGCTTGATACCATGAGGTCAGCTGCAGCAAGAAGGGGTATTTGGGGATGAAATGGCTAATGGCGTGTGGAGAAGAAACTCAGAACTACCCTGGGGTGGCGGTGGGGAGCACATCTAATCCATGTCAGTGTCAGCACCATCTTAGTGCTTGATAGTGGTCATGGGCCATAGGCAGGAACCCTCTGGAAACAGTATCTAACCCCCAAAGAGAGAAAAGGACACATTTTTGAATGAATGGATATTTTTTTGTACCTCAAATCACACCCTGCTGGAAATCCCCTCAACCAAGACAAATCTTCATTAAAATTCATAGAGAACATCACCCCTTTGACCTCCAGGGCAAGTCTGAGAAGTTGACAAGGCAGATATAGAGTCTGTTCTAGAGACTGTAGAAATCAATGACCACACTTGCCTGAGAAGACATGTAATGTGAGAACAGATCTTCATAGTTCTAGTCTCCCGTTCTCTGCATGACTTCATGATGGAGGCAAGAGAAGCGGTGAAAATGATGAAGGTAGGAGAGATGTCATCAGTACAGATTAGAGAGACCATGATTAAGGTGTTGTTTTCTAAACAGGGCCACTTCTCCTCTGGCAAACTTGTTGTTAGGGAACAAGTGTAAAAAAAAGATGAGAAGTGAAAAAAAAAAAGAGGAGAAAGGTGAAAAGAAGACACCAAGGATGGGAAGAGTGGGAAATGAATCCTATCAATGTGTGGCTGTGCAGAAGGAGGGAGGACTTTGAATCACCTGTAATTATACCTGCCTGCTCCCGTGTATTGTGGTTTTAAGTCTTACCTGATAATTAGACGCCATCTGGAGACAACAGAAGGGTGGGGAAGAGTTGCCTAAAGAAGTAAGAGAATTTGCTGAACATTATCTTATACAACCTAGGAGGCAAGTTTTGTGTTCTTCTAGAAACCAAACAACTGCCAGCCAACTCCCTGTTGGCTTCTCTCCTAAGGCCAACAGCTTGGGTTTTCACAGTCACTGGATTTCCTAGGCAACAGAAGTGTAAACTTGAGAAGATGCAGGGCCGGGATAGGGATTGACAATGAGCTGAGCCAATGAGGCTGTAAGTTTGCAGCAGTGATTCCTAGACATCCAATTGTCAGGAAGAGGGTGGACCAGGAGGTATGAGGACAGAAGGTAAGAGGGAGGAGGCAAAGGGGGATGGGAGGGGACTGGTCCTCCCAGATGCAAAAGAGAGAGTCCATAGTTTCAGTTCAAAGCAACTGTTGGCAACAGGTTACCATTCAAGGTAAAT